CCCCAAAACCCCAAAACCCCAAAACCCCTCTAGGCTACTGTAAAAACTAGATTACAAAATAGTGCCACTTAATTAATAGTATAATAAAACCTAAAATGCAGGCTAATAGGACTGATCAACAGAGAAAATAAAATAATTACGATCGCTCTGGTAGTGGTGCAGGCACAAATGCATAGTATTCAAATAACCGAAGAGACCAGGACGAGGAAGAGGATAAATTTGAGAGTTGGAGGAATACTAAGAATGCCAACACCACATCTGGTGTTAGACCGACATCAACAACATAAACGAGTGGTCAAAACACTGGAAGCGGTTCTGCCAATAATAACTCAATCAATCGTGATTAACAACAGTGACCAAACAACAATTATTAGTCTGCATAGATGAGTGGAAATGTAGGTTAGAAAAGTGGAGCGAACAACAATAGTAATAGCTATGGGACCAAAAATGCTGGTGGAAATGTAAATAACTATGCTTCAAGCTTTGATGTCTTCTCTGGGAAAAAGGAGAATGCCTTCCAAAGTGATGACAGTAGCAGTGAAGAAGAGGATTATGGAGATGATCTAGATGATGACAACGTTGCAATCAGAGGAGGAGACAGATTAGAGTTGAATAGTTAAATTGATAGCAGATCTGAGATTTCTGAATCAGTAGGAAGTGTGGATCAAGAAGTTGAGCCTTATGATTTCGATAACTTGCCAGCTCATGCTTGTGCATATTGTGGTATTCATGATGTTTAGTGCGTAGTAAAATGCTCAATCAAAGACTGTGGAAGATGGTTCTGCAACGGCAAAGGTATAAATGAGTATGGAAGTCACATTATGCTTCATCAGGTAAAATCCAGACATAAGGAAATTGCTTTGCACCCAGACTCACCTTTGAAAGATACAGTAATAGAATGCTATAATTGCTCTAGCAAGAATATATTTTTACTGGGCTTTGTTTCAGCAAAATAGGAAGCAGTCATCATTTTACTTTGTAGAGAGCCTTGCTTGAGTCAATTTTCAGTAAAGGATAGCAAATGGGATATGGAGGGCTGGTAAGCCTTGATTGAAAATAAAGCTATACTCAATTGGTTAGTTTAGTTCCCAGCTGAGTAGGAATTCAAGAGATCAAGAAAAATCACTGCCTAGTAAATTAACAAATTAGAAGAACTCTGGAAAGAAAAGCCCTCTGCTTAAGTAGGTGACTTAAGTGTCATTCAGCAAGAAAAGCCAATGCAACCTGTTTTATTGAGATATAAAGACCCTAAATAGTACAAGGATATATTTGAGCCATTGATCAAACTCGAAGCTGATTATGACAAAAGCTTTAAAGAATCACAAACCTAAAGAAATATCAGAGTCAGATTTGACTATGGACTCAACAAGAAGAAATAAGCTTTCTTTATATTCCCTAACGAAGATAATATTAGACTAGTGCCAGGAGATGAATTAAAGCTTTGCTATGAATAAGATGGCTAAGTTAAATGGTAGTCTAGAGGGCATATCGTTAGAATAGTAAATGAGGAAATATGTCTAGAGCTCAAAAACTCAAAAGGATGTCCTAATGATTCAGATATTAGGTTTACTATCGAGTTCATTTGGAAATCAACCTCCTTTGATAGAATGAAGCAAGCTTTGAAAATCTTTATGAAGGATGAAACTTCTCTATCCAATTACATGTAAAATTTCTTTCACTTATTAATAATTTTTTAGCTTCTATAAGCTACTAGGTTACAATACCAAAGATTAATTCATCAAGACTAATATACCCAAACATTTATCAGTGCCAGGCTTACCAGAATTGAATCACTTTCAAATGAATGCAGTTAAAAAGGCATTAATTACTCCTTTATGTTTAATTCAAGGTCCTCCAGGCACAGGAAAGACTGTAACTTCAACAACTCTAGTGACTCATTTAGTAAAGTAAAAAATGGGAAAGGTTCTGGTGTGCGCACCTTCAAACATTGCAGTTGACTAATTAACTGATAAGATTAATAGTACTGGAATTAAAGTAGTCAGAATGTGTGCAAGATCAAGAGAGTCTGTGAGCTCAAACGTTGATTATCTTTCACTTCATGAGCAGATCAAGTATTTATCACATGGTCCGTTCAAGCAAATGCAAGAGCTAATACTAAAGAAAGAAGAGCAAAATGAGTTGACTGAAAAAGAGGAAAGATAGCTAAAGGAACTAAAGAGACAAGCTGAGGATGAGATACTTAAAAATGCAGAAGTAATATGTACAACTTGTGTTGCAGCTTTTGATAGAAGACTGAGAAGTTTCAAATTCTCATAAGTTCTGATTGATGAAGCAACATAAGCTACTGAGCCAGAAACATTGATTCCTATTCTTAGAGGAGCTAAGCATGTAATCCTGGTAGGAGATCACTGCCAACTTGGTCCAGTCATTATGTGCAAGAAAGCAGCCAAGGCAGGATTAAATCAAAGTCTCTTTGAAAGACTAGTTTGTCTTGGAATAAGACCAATTAGACTCTAAGTACAGTATCGTATGCATCCAGTTCTCAGTAGTTTCCCCTCGATGACATTCTACGAAGGATCTTTGCAGAATGGTATCTCAAAATAAGATCGAGTCCTTGAGGATTTCTAATTCTAATGGCCAGCTTCTGACAAGCCAATGATGTTCTATCATTCAATAAGCAGTGAGGAAATCTCAGCCTCAGGAACATCTTTCCTTAATAGATAGGAAGCCTATAACGTTGAGTCTCTAGTCACAAATTTCCTGAAATTCGGCTTAACTCCTGAGTAGATTGGAATCATTACTCCATATGAAGGGTAGAAAGCATTTATCACAAGCTATATGCAGAGATCTGGCTAATTAGACTCTAGCTTGTATAAGGAAATTGAGGTAGCATCAGTTGATAGTTTCTAAGGCAGAGAGAAGGACTTTATTTTACTATCTTGCGTTAGAAGTAACGAAGCTTCTGGCATTGGTTTCTTGAATGATCCAAGAAGACTAAATGTAGCTCTTACCAGAGCTAAATATGGTTTAGTGATATTTGGTAATGCCAAGGTACTGTCAAAGCATGACCTTTGGAATAATTTACTAAACGAATTCAAAAACTAAGGATGCCTTGTCGAAGGTCCAACCATATTGAACTTAAAACCATGCGTGATTGTTCTGAGAAGACCAGTTAAGTACAACCCAGATAAAAGAGACTTCGTATTAACAGAGACGGCTCTGAATAACTTTGAAAAATCTCAAATGAGCTAAATAGGAATGTCAACTCCTTCAAGTATTAGAGATGGTAAGATTTTTTGAGTTTATTGATGTAATATAATAGAATTTGACACCAGAAGTGAAATGAGCAAAACAGAGAGTTAGATATCATATGGAAACAGAGTCAGTTAGTTCGGTTTCACCGACATGTTTGGTTTGAGCAAATCTCAACAACCCGCATCATAGCTAAGTAACTAGCAACAACACCACCACTCATCATCCAGCTAAATTAACACTTAAAAATCTTACAAGTAAAACGACAAAAAGACCTAGGATGGAAAGGGCTCGAAGCAGCAGACGGAATCAATGAGTTCCAAACAAGGTCAGATGCTGAAGTCAGGCAATGACAATGACTTCAAGAACGACAAGTTCTTAAGCAGCATCGGAGGAGGAAACTAGTGAGTTGACATTGAAACTCCTGTTTCCCCTTTCCTTTCTACCACTCAAATTTCCTTGCTTTGCAGAGAATTACCACCAAGCGACTCCTGAAGTTGTGATGGTGAGTATTCTCAAGCCTGATTGATCTTCATTAATTGTTGTACCAATAGTTAAGAAGATCTCTTCAAATCAAGGATTATGAGTTTAAGTTCGAAGCTAAAGCTTGCCATAAATTATGCTCATGGGTTTGAATATTTCAATTTATGCAAGATGCGCTTCTTAATAATTTTCATGATATATAGCTATAAGGGGTTTTGGGGTTTTGGGGTTTTGGGG